CTCCACCGACTCAGGAGCCTCAGAACGTGTTCGGGCCTCGCTGCTGACGAAAGCAATCCTCGCAGCCGCAGGGGGCTTTTTGGTGGGGCATGCCGCTGTGAGGCCGGTCCTGCGGAAGGAAGAGCCCAAGCTGCCCACGAGGGAGGCTGGGTCAGCTCCTTCCTGCATCTCTTTTTCGAAATTTTCTTCGTGCATATGCCGCAGGAGTGTATCAAAATGGCCGAGGAGGTCAGCAACAGTCGCAGGGTGCGGTGAAGCTGTTGATTCCGGTGTGGCCAGGTCTTGGAAGAGCAAAGGATCTTCCTGGGCCAACTCGGAATAATGCCGCTAAAGGCGCGCGCTTGCCCGTGCACTGTCACCCTGACCGTAACGCCGGGTGATCTGGCGGAGATCATCCCACAAAGTTGTCAGAGAAAGAGCATTCAACTGTCTACACCTATAGGGTCAGGATTCAGGAGGAGGCATGCTGCTGTGTTTGTGGGCCCAAGTTCCGCAACTTTGCCTTGGCAGGAAGCCCGCCTTCTTTGGACAGATGCCATGATGAACGCGCTGAAAGGCCCCGGCCCAATTGGACCTGGGCAGGAGGCCTAAAGTCTTTTGTTTTGATTTGTGTTTTGATGCGTGGCTTTCAGATCGTTGTGCTTTGTGGAGGGTAGCTTGAGGCTGGAAGACCTGCAGGTCAGGGTCCCACCACCTGACGAGCTGCCAGAGCACGCAGACGAGCCCATTGACATGGGACCTGCTTGTAGCTCAGCTTTGGCATGTCTACATCGTGCAGTCTCCATGCAGCCTGCCTCCGCCCTCCGCTGCTGCCCAGGTTGCCCTGCCCATGGCGGAATCCCTGAAGCTTGCCCACAAGGCACCTGCCAGCATGGGGCTGGAGCTCTCCATGTGGCGCCATGCCATCCGCAGTGCGTCCACTTGTGAGCGCTTGCCCTTGCTAAAAGCTGCTGAACCTCACCCTGTCAGAGGGCGATGAGGGCGCTCTCGTGGTAGTGAGCCCCAAGCCCGAGGGAGACACTGATGACAAGGCCATGATGCAAATGATTCAAAGAGCTGTGCAGATCTTGCAGGGCCTCAGCTCAAAGAGCGGATCCTGTGACTGCACATTTTGAAGCAAGATGCCAAGATGCCTTGCCCTCTCAGTACCTTACATCTTACAGGGGTTCCTCACACTGCTGAAGCCGCGATGCATTTCCGTGAGATCACTTCTGCTCGCCCAGTCAGGCAATGGGCGCGGAGGGCACGAAGTCTTCCAGCGCGGCGGGCTTGTTGCTGGTGCACACGTCCCGAAGAGCGCAGTGCGTGCATGCCATTTGACTTTAAAAAGGAGGCCCCGTGATGTAATAGCTAGTTTCGGTGAAATCCTTTTAGATCACGGCAGATACCTCTTCACATGCCGTGGAAGCTTCGCACAAAAACCCTGCAGAGCCCCTGCAAACAAGTCTGACTTGACTGTAGCAGTCGGGCTAAGGCCCCAACTTCGCCGGGGAAGAAGGGCAACCAGAAGAAGGCCCCTTGTCGCTAAAAGCCTGGGCGAGCTATGTGCACAGCCTGTTGCTCGGGACATGTTGGTGTCACCAACGTTCTGCTTGCTTGTAGCTTCTTGGGTTCAGTGACCGTCCCAAACAGGCTCATTAGATTCATTAGATTGACTTGCGTGCCATGTTGGTCGCGTCGTTTTGTAATCGAAGGGGCAAGGAAGCAACAATTCAAGACCAAACCTGGATATTGCAAGCGTTGCCAAGTTCCAGAGGTGGAGGTCGCCTGCTACATCGCCAGAAGCAAATTAAGCTCGCGGGATTTCAGGGATACAATGGCATTCTAAAACCAGCCGTTGTAGCGCATGCCTATGTAGCTGGCAGCTAGACGTTCCTCAGAGGGCACTGCAGAGTCAAACACTTCGCACTTTCATGATCTGCGACACTTGTGAGTAGAAAACTGGATCACGGGCACCTTAAGACGGCGTTTTGTGCTTCTTTCGGGCGTCATGTTGAACAGATCCGTGATACTTGTATTCCGGACGAAAGTTTTATTCATATGAGCCTTCAATGTCCTACGTTGTCCTACATTCCGCACGAGGCCTTCGCAAAGTCATGCATTCCCTGCAACCATCAGCTTAAGTATCTTGAGTCATTAGATCGCCGCGGGCATGGATGTGTGCTGAGGCCCCCACTTCGCCGGGGCAGAAGGGCAGCCCAAAGAAAGCCCCTTGTCGCTGAAAGCTTCAGAATCTTAAGAGAGCCATGTGGAGGATTTTGTTGCTGGCGAAGAGTTGGCATCAGTAGCCAATGGCTTAGATGTAAGATTGTTTGAGGGTTGGCGTTTGCAAATGTGCGGGCACGGGCAGGGTTCCACGGTTGTGGTCTGAATTTAAATATTGACAGTCACTTCAGGTCGGCAGGGATTTGGTCGGATCTTGGCGTGAAAGGTTCTGGCAGGCAAAGAAGGGGGGGCCGGGGAGGGCTCCTCGTCGCTAAAGCATGGCCACAGAAGAAGCTCACCTCAACTGTTCAATAAGCCTGCGGCGATTCTTGATGCGGCTGCTGCGTGGAATTTCTACTCACATATCCCGTGGCTAGCTGAGCTTTCAGACATCCTGAAGGCTTTGTGCTCAGTATGACCGATTCCAGGCTCCCTTGATCCTGGCCTCCAAAGATGATTACCGGCATTGGATGTTTTGACTTTGTTCCGCGGGCACCCACCACCTCAAAGCCCCTCTTTTGAAAAATGGGGCACGAGCCTGAACCTTCCGAACACTGCTTTGAACGCCAAACTTCCCATGGGTTGCCAGCTGAGGCCAAGCCAGCGGCCCCTTGGCTCGTACAGTTGGTATGTTCGCTAGCAGATTTCGCTTTAAAGGCAGAAGCCACTGACGCAGCGTCGACAATGATATAGGGTTCAAGCCCGAAACGCTATGAGACACCAAACGGACCTGGCGCCTGCAGGAAATTGAACATGTTGTTTGAAGCCTTGGCTGGTACTTGATCACGAGTTTTTTTGAAAGATGCTCTAGCTGCGTGTGGCACAGGCTGACACAGGAATCTGGGTTAGATGGATGACTCCTTGACTTTAGAGTAGAGAGTGCAAAATGAACTGAAGGATTACTCTGCAAGCTTCAGACTCACTCCAGCCTAGAATGCAGGGAAAGTTGCGGCGACACCAGGAAAGCAATGGATTTCACAAACAAAGCTGCGGCTGCTAAGGCCTCCCAAGAGTGGGCCCCGCACCTCCATGCTCCCTCTCGCCCCTGGCCATACTCACCAGGACGGGGAGGGCTCTGAAGCCCAGCTTTCAATGGATTGTAGCGTGTGTCATGCATTGCTGTGGAGATCCCAAGGAGTCTCTTTCATCAGCATGCGCTTCTTGCCTGTTCTTCCTGATCTTGCTTGATAATGGCTGCCAGGAGTCATCTCGAAGGGCGACAAGCGCACAAAGGGTGCCAGCGGCAAGGGCGGCACCGGGGGCAAGGGTTGCACAGCCGGCAAAAATGGCAAGAACGGCAAGAACGGCAAGGGTGGCGGAAAAGGAGGCAATGGAAAGGGCAAGAGTGGTGGCGTTACAGCCTCAGCGAGGGTGGAAGATTGTCTGCAGCTTTGAAGTGAAGACGCGAGCCCAGGCTTTTTACGCGCGTCCAGACGGCAAGGCCCTGGCCGGCCAAAGCAACAAGTGGTTTTGGTTAGACTTGGCCGAGTGTTCGCAAGGTCTGGACCGTGAAAAAAGACGCGGCTGAAACAGCGCCCATGGAGGAGCAGACAGGCACCAATCGCAGGCCTGGAAGCGCATCATGAGCTGACTCGTTTGCTGGATTGGTAAATGTCAAGGCCGCGATGTCGGGGCAAGATGAGCCTGCCCGGGCCACAGCGTGCCACATGTCGCATGCGGCCTGATTCCAAGCGCTTGGAGTGAGGTACGCCGCGGGCAACTGAGTTCTTATCTTCTCTGACTGGCAGCGTGATTCCAAGCATTGGGGCGAGGCATATATGTTGCCACAAACTCGTTTTTGCTGGCAATTGGGTCCGCATCTTCCTGGCACTAGGCAGCTGCAATATTTCGTCAGAGAACACAATCAGCGGTCGCTGCATGGCATGATATTAGGTGAGGCAGGTTGACTGTAGCTTCTGCAGGTCTAGATGGGACCAGGTGGCCGATTGTAAATGCATTGGGCCAACTGAACCCGAACACAAGGCAGCATTTGGGATTGTTCCAATGCCTGAGCAAGCTCAAAAAGGTAAACTTTGAGTCTGACATGGTTTCGGGGTTTCGGTGCAGGCCCAAGGGAATTCAATCTCGCCCGGAGAACATGTTTGGGCGAGGGGAACACTTCAGCCACCCGGGCTGTTTCGTTTCAGATGGTTCTGTTTGAATCATGTCCCCGCTGCGTGCCTGAGCCTTCGAGAACAAAGGAGGCCAGCTAGCAAAGAGAATTCCTGCGCACCTGTTGGCTTCCTGAAAATCAGGAGCCGTGCTTGGGGGATCCTCAGATTCTGGCATTTGGATGCCGTTTACTTGTTCTGCTGCGCATGATGTGAACTGGAAAGTGGGACAAAAAGGTGGATGGGCCAGGCTTAGGATTGCATAGACCATCAAGAGGTCATGGGTTTTGGCTTTGCAACAGCTGAGGTTACATGAGTCCTGCATGAGGGTGGGCATGGCACCACAGCGCCGATTCGAGCCTATGCCGCTTCAGGCACTTCAGTGAGCTACTTGCGAAGACATTATAGTCCCCCTTAAGTAGATAGAATATAGGGTATATGGGGATCTTATTATAATATACCCAAATCCATATTCTATCTACAGGCCTTCAGGGCACAGTGAAAAGTCAGCGGAATGATTTTCCAGTCAGAATCGTCAAGGCCCATTTGGAGTTGTTTTTCTCGAGTTCTCCCACTTTCCCGGTAGAGCGGAGAGCACAACACAAGCAACCCACGTGAAGTCTTGTGCTTCAAGCCTTTTCGGAGACTCTGGCAGAGGAGCTTTGCAGCTGCAAAGCTCCGGAAGAGCTGCAACGTGCACGCTACTCTGAAGCCAGAAGAGGCAGCAGGGCTCCGTGTCGCTGTGGGGTGGGGGTTTGCAGGGCATGATCGGATTGTTGCCTGACGTTCTCCAGCGTATGTCTGGACGCCTTTCCATGCTTGCGCGAGGTTTCAGATGCAGCACGGAGGGGGGGGTTCCGCCATGTGGAAGTTCTATGTCTGACGCCGACTCTTTCTGCAGCTTGCGCTGTCCTCCAAAGGCTTTTCTTTTTCTGCCATGAGACCAACTACCTATCTGGTCCTTGGCAGCGGCTTCGCACCGTCATCTCTGAGCATTTGGACAAGTTGTCAACAAACTCCAGGCCGCACAGTTGCACTCGTTTACGCCCTGTTGAGACAACTGTTGCATATATGGAGATGGTTCCCCTAACAATGCAAAAAGCTCATAAGATGGGTATAGTGCCTTGCCAATCATATCGTCAGGAGGTCCAGACTGAGCAGTTCTTGCTGTTGGTGCACAGTGGCTCCAGAAGCAGCACCAAGTAATCCGATGAAGGGCATCACGATGGTGTTTGTTCAACCACAGTACATGACCCCGAATGTGCCACATTTTCATGAAACGGCTGACATTCTGCCACAATCAGTGTTTGCATCATCCCCATCCTCGTGAAGGGAGGTCAGTTGTCCACCGTTGCTCAAAGCTGTTTGCCAAGAGCGGCTGCAGATTTTTACGAGGGTCTTGCAAGAAAGTCGCCTGGCTGCAGCTGAGGCTCTCACTTTTGGGATTTACCAGGGTGCCGCAAGGAACGAGAAAATTAGTAGTCCACGCCATCGAATCTTGATATTATTCGTGATCATTATTATTATTTCTATTCTTGATTTTCCTATTTCCCTCATATTGCTTGAGGCCTTCAGGCTATCATGGCCTGCCTGGAGCGCACGAGCAGTTACAGAAACTAGAAAATCTTCCTCGATTTGGAAATCCGAGATCCGGAATCGGATCAAATTTCTCTTCAGGTATATGAGAGATTAGAAATATTTCTATATAGAATAATAGGCAATATTATAAATAATGATATATATTGATTCAAAATGGAATACAATTATTAAGGGCTGACGCCGCTGCCGCCGACCCCGGCAGCAGGGGGCTCGGGGCCGCGGCAGCACATGTGGGGACTGGGCGAGCAGTGATGTGTGTCAGCTCGCGCAAGAGTGCGAACCAGGGCTCCAGAGGGTACAGTGAGGGGCAGTCTAGAGGGAGGTTTGTACCGGTCTCGACCTTTCAACACGGCACAAGCGCGCAAGAGTACTCGAAGCACTCAGCAGCCACTGTAATCTGGCAAGATCCACAGATGGGATTTTCAGCCACAACCCTGTAATGTCCAAGCAGTAGAATTTACTGCGCAATGTTGCGCGCGCGCGGGCTCGGCGCACGCGGCGGCATGACACGGCCGCTGCTCTGAAAGTGGCGCTGCGGCGCGCGAAGCATTGGCGATTCAAGCATCATGTTGGACTGACAGAGCAGCGGCTAGCTGAGGGGATGTGAGTTGGGCACAGCTGTCGCGGCCGGCTTCTCTCACCCGGACGGACACCCGTGCACCACAAGCGCGTGGCGGGATGCGGAACGTCTGGCCACGTGCAAGCACGCCTGTCCCAAATGTGGCACTATCGTGCACAGTCGACTCGCGTCAGGACGAATCCGCATCAGGCACGTACGACCGGATGGCGTACCTTGCGAATGCCACTCATGGCAAGCCTCGACGTAGAAGCCACAAGGTCGATTTTTCGGCGGGGGGGAAGGAGGGGGGGTTGGGGCCTGGGGAATAGGAGGGCTGGGGCGAAAGTCAGCCCGAACATTTCTCAATCAGTCGGAAATGACTTGTTTTGATTTCTGGCAGGGGCAACGAGGGGGGCCGGGGCCAGGGGGTCGCGGAAAGGAAGAGGGGAGGGGCGGGGGCTGGGGGCTGTAGGGGGCAGGGGCGAGGGTCAGGTGGGAGGGCAAGGGCAAGTCAGAAAGTGCTGGGGACAGTTCGCACAGTAAGAAAGCAATTATTTTGATTTTTGGGGGCAAGAGTCAGGGGGGGGGGATGAGGGCAGGGTCACAGGCGGGGAGTTGGGGGTTTCGCGGGGGGGGGAAGAGGGGGGGGCGGCAACGCCCAGACAGTTCTGAATTGGCAAGAAAGCAATTCTTTGGGACAAGGGGGGGGGCTGGGTCCTGGGGGGGTTAAGGGGGCTGGGGCGAGGGTGGGGCCTGGGGTGGGTTAGGGGGGCTGGGACGTTGCCGGAAGTCCGCATAAACCCCGGCAGTTTGGCTCAAACGAACAAAAGAAGGGAACGGCTGGGAGCAGGACCAGGCTTCACTGTGCGCTCGCCCGGTCCAGCCGGGGTCGGCGGATATGTATATATATATATATATGAGGATTATATGGATGGAGGTACCATTACAGGGGTATGTATTGGGACTATTTAGGGATTGGTATAGGGATCCACTCCCCAACTCTCCCTTAAGCACTAGTAAGGTTTGCAAGTGTGTGCGTGTGTGGGTATCGGAGGTTTCCAACACAACTTCCGACAGTCAAGGTTTGCAGGAAGCGATCAATTCGGATTCTGGCAAGGTTTGGACACCCTCTGGACCAAACTTGGAGGACCAACTACGGCATAAATCCTTTGGCTAATGATGTACCTACAGAAACCCTGTGACTTCTCGAAATCATAGTAAGCGTCCTTGCGTAGAAACATGTTCTCGAATTTGTAATATCGGGGTCCTGGTTCTCCTCATGGGAAGCTCTTGAATTAATGGTCTTGTTGTGCATGGAGCTAGGCTGCAGGGTCTTCTCAAGCATGCAGCGAAGGGCACTGCATTCAGTACCGGAAATATGATCGACATGATAAAGTTGTGCTACCGGATATCTTCTCCACGGCATCACTTGGACAGTCCCTTAAAAAAGCTTGGGCATAGCTGCCTGCTAACCAGTATGGGCCGTTGTATCACCTTTGTTTCAAGAAACTCACAAGCGGAATACATGACTTAAGAGCCAGGCTCATGTGCTTTATGCGGGTGCAGGTATTGTGGTGTATTGTCACTGGCAGTCATGGCTTTACGTTGGAGCCTCTGAAGATTACAGCTTGCCCCACCCGCCACAGGAATGTAGCCATTACCATAAGGATCTTCCAAGCTTGCCCAAAATTTTGAGAACCTCCCCAAACCCCCAGCTCTGGGCCCCAATGCCCCCAAACGCGGAACCCAAAGCTTAAACTTTACATGGCCCAAATGCTGTGCTGCCCCTGTGTTTCTTTTCTGTGGCTTTCAAGGCAGAGCTTCCTCCAGACCCCGACGATGTTATTTGGAGGGATCTGCTGGCCTCACCAAGGATGTTCCTTGGTGGTCTAGGACATACGGGGTCCTAAAATTGGGAGTATCATTTTGAGGTCCCTGTAATAAGAACAATCGTATTCTAGGCTGGAGATTAGGGTCCCGTACTAGGGAAACTTCCAAAATATAGGGCTCTTGGGCTCACGCAGTAAACTTCGGCCTCAATGCCCCGGTTTATGGCTCTAGTGCTGCTACCAGCTGTTGCTTCTGCCACTGCTGGCACGACTGCGGCTACTACCACTTCCAGTGCTACCACGGCTACCGACTCTCTCCTCCTACTCCTTCCTCTGCTGCATTTGATTCGCATCAATGCATTCTCCTGAATTCTCTTTGAAGCGCATTACGGCGATTGCTGACATCATAGTCATCACCATTGTCTCCCGCTTTTCTTCCGCCTTATCATCATGTTGGTTTTGGTATTATGCAACAAAAATTATTCAAGGACGAATCACAGATCCTAAGCCCGCCCCCTTGCCCCAAGTAGTTAAGCCGAGACCCTGCAATCAAACCCTGAGCTGAGGGCACTGGGATGTTTTGTGAGGATAGAGACTCCCCCCCAGCGCTGGCCTAACCCAACCCAAAAAGTGCTTTCCAAGCACGGGCCGCAACCAGGAACGTGTATTTACCCTAAGCACCATGAAGCACCTGGAGCTCTTAACCAGCAGAAGCCAGAAAGTTCGAGCATTAGTGAGCCCTACTGCAAGACACAGGAAGAAGGACCAGTAGCACAACATCTCCTACCTTCATCCTTCAGCTTTTTTGGCCTGTAGACTTGATGGCCCCTAAACCTTCAATAGCCCCAAAACCTCAAACCCAAGGCAGTGGCTTTGGGATGTACTGGGCATTTTCATTCTGCTGCTGGCCTTTGTGGTGCTCGTCCCCCTGGCCGGCGGCTGAGGAGTTGAAGGTTTGGAGTTTAGGGGTTGAGGGTTCCTCACTGGTAGTTTTAGTAGGGAATATGGGAACATATATTATGTAGGGGTTGTATGGGGATTATATTCCCTTATTCCCAACCGACCCCCGATAGGGTTGAGGGTTCCTGGTTCAGGCTAGGTCTCTTGTAAGGGGGGAGTGAGGGGTTTTGGGTTTCAGTCTTGGGCCTAGGATTTGGCTCCCCAAAGCTAGTCTGTGCTATGTGGCTCCTCTTGGGGCACGAGCAAATTGAGATGCGCTCATCCTCGGATTCGGAGCAGGCTTATGTTGGGCATTCTGGGTTTGTTGAGGATTCAGAGGGTGTTGCAGGTCTGACATGACGTGAGGTCTTGCAGATTTCTTGTGTTCGAATCGATTTGTTTGAGTTTTCTGCAGAAGTTAGTGAGCTTTTTGATGGCTTACGAAAGTGAAAGAGACCCCATTGAGGAGCAATTCCTGATCGCTATCACAGTGAGGGGAGCTCGTTTGACGTTGTCAACGCTGCTGTTTGCCAAATTTCCCCCTGTCACAAAGGGCTCCCTACAGTGGCCGTATCTTTTTCGTTGGGTTCCTTTCCACACTTTAGTACCGTCGCCTTCGTGTCGAAAGACCTTCTCCATAACGCTACCATGTCATCACGTTCATCTCAATCTCGGGAAGGCTTGATTATCGAGGCAGGCCAAGCTCCGCAAAATCGAGGTTGTGGTTATTGCTGGTCTCAGCTCTGTGCAGAGTTTGGAGAGCCTTGGCTGCAATGAAGCCTTTCCCCGTGCGTTGTGGGGATTGAAACATCCTACAAAGCATTTGCGTTTGTTTGGCAGGAAAGTTGCTAGTTTGATTGGGGCCTATCTCAGCCGAAAGGTCCTCATGAAATCTTCCCAAGCAATTCGACCCACCTTACACGGATACGTGAAGAAGCCGCATCCACACAGTTGTAGCAGCTCCTATATATAATTTAAACTCCTTAAAAAGGGGGGGTTACATAGGGGATCATATAGGGGGAGTATTATAGGGTTTGCACTCTAGCTTATATGTTTTTGGGGGCATGTTGCGGGACCCCAACCTATGAGAAATCCCCCGATGATGTTGACACACACTGGCTTGGATGTCGCTCAACCGGTTGCGATAGATTTTGTCTTTCTGCGTTCGCTACGGTCACTACACACGTGAAATTGTTGGGCTTTGGATCTGTGGCCCGTTTGTCCATGCAAGCAAATGAGAGGAACCCTGCAAACAGGCCGCCGTAAACAGGTTGCTGCTTTCGCTTGTTGCTGAATCACTTTTCGTTAGCTACCTGCACGCAGGGCACGAGACGCAAACCTCGCAACCTTCATGGACAACAATCCAGCATCTCGGATCAGGGGGAAGCCCATAAGAAGGACGCAATGCTCATGTAACATCAGGAGTTTTTTTGATGAGGACTAAGATGTGCAAGCTACGCAAGCATGTGTACATTGATGTTTTGTTTTTTGTAATGGAGACGGCAAGAATAGCAGAACTCACAGCAGCGCTGCTTTCCGCTCGACACCTGACTAGGTTTTCATTCGGGTGAAGTGAGGATTGATGTCTGCACACCCAGTTCCCAATTCTCCCTGATTCAGTTGGGTTTTTCTCGAAACGTGCCTTCGGAATCCCAGAAATATATGGGGGTTAGCTACTGTTGGCTGTTTGGGGCATTAAGCTGGGTTTATTTTGAGAAGCTCCCCTTGGTTTTGAAAAAGCCAGCTGAAGGGTCTATGTAGGGTCGTGTTTGGAGATGCCACAGTAGTAGCTCTTGTCCGGTGTCCTGTGGAAGTTCGTAATTATTTCATTCGCGCAAGGGCTGGCGATGGTCTTGGTACTGGAGTGCCACATTGCAGGAAACAACTTGGGGGTTTCAATTGTTGTTCTTCACCCAGCATCCAGGCTTGTTGTCAGCTGCCCTGCTGACAACATCCCTCAACGATGCAATGCGGGTAGCTACAGTTGTATGCAGTTAAAGTAGCATGCCGGGGGTTGGCACAGACCATGTCTTTCTTCGGCAGCACCTCAGAGAAGCCCGCAGCCTTACGGGAGAACAAGGTGACCATAAGCTCCGAATCTAAAGCTCAAGTGAATTGCATCCCAGCGCGATCCTCTCGAGCAGCCCCAACGACTCCAGTATGTTGGGGGGATGAGAGAGGGTTATATAGGGATTTAATTGGGTTATATAGGGATTATATTTGTGATGCTGGAAAGAAAATGGAAACTACTATAGTTTATTGAAGAAAGCTAGCTCCCTACAGCATGATGAGTGCGAGTCCTCAGGCCGTGCCCATCTTTTGGAACGGGCTTCTGGGGCCGTTCGCTCTGATCCACGCTTGCAAAGATGCGGTAAGGTTATATAGGGGAATATCGGTTAAAGTATGGGGTAATATAGGGTTATACGGGGATAATGAAAAGAACATGGAAACTACTGTTGAGATGCAATTTGCTTCTCAAGAAGGGTTGTAGGCGCACCAGGGGAGCCCTAGTGATGAATTTGGCAGAGTGAGCCCAATCAGTTTAGAGCAGGAATCAGACTCCTAAATCCTTTTCCCTAAGCCCCTAAACGAGCAACCCCTAATTCCTAGATTGTAAACCAAAACCATCCAAAACCCTAAATCCTTAAGCAATCCTAAACCCTAAATCCTTACTTCAGCACAGGAATCTGGTCATGAGCTTCGTTCCGGCCTTCCTGGCCCTAATTTTGGGCACCTTCTTCATCCTCAAGGCCCTGGGCTTCATGATTTTAGGGTTTTGAAGCTTTGAGGATTTGGGACTTGAAGTTTAGGCTTTAGGGGGTTATGGGATTAAGAGTTTAGGGTTCGGGATTCTGGGTGTAGTCAGGCTGAAGGTTGAGGGTGTGTCATTTCAAGCCTAAGTTTGGGTCTTCGATCTAGGATTGTATTGCTTGGGGTTTAGGGTTTAGGAGTGGGCGTTGTAGATCTGGGGTCCGGGGTGGGATTCAGGCCTAAGCGTGCCATTTCTCCACTCTCGCTGATTTTGAGCCTTGGCTGTAGGTTGAGGCGTGGGGGCTCAGCTTCAGGAGTGGAGAAGAGGGCTTTGGATGTAGACATTCGCATGATGATCAGTTAGGTGGCTGAAATCAAGTTTTGGAATAGACAGTTGGCCGTGAAGCTTGGGCAGGTGTGGTTCAGGGGTCTCAGCTAAGACCTCGGGCCGGGAAGGCCTTCCGCGGCCACTTTGGAGCCCCTAGAAAACCAGCGTTCCTGCGACTGCAGCACCCAAGCACACCCGTTGCTCTAGACCCCACCACATCCTTGGCATCTAAGCAACATGTCAAACTTTCCAAGCCTCCAAGGGAGGGCCTCAACTGCTCGAGCCTAAACCTCTTGCAATCTCGAGGCTCGGGGCTGGTTGCAGCTGCTTGGCAGGAATAGGCCATTGAGCGAATAAGGGTACAGGATTTCATGAACACCTTGCGCGTCGCGTCTCTTGCAACGGCTGAGAAAGATGTAAGAGTTGTTTCATAGTGTTTCCAGCTAGTAGGAATCGGCAGCTGCAGGCTTTTGGTCTTTGGTTTTTGTGTGTTTTCTTGTGTACCTGGAACTCCAAAACGCGTTAACCACCTAACATTTTCTCTAAGGCCTAATTAAACTCTGAACTCTGAACCCCTTGAACGCATGCCTGCTGGTGCATTAGTGTAGGGAAGCTGCACTTCAACTTTAAGAGTTGAGCTCAGGTTCAGGACGCAACAGTGGTACTACATGTTCCTCCTCCTGCTCGTGTTCTTTGTGACCTCTGTGGGCTCTTCCCTGTCGAGTACCCTGAACCTGGATCGTGGCCAAAGCATGTTTTGCCATTGCTTTTGCACGTGCCCAGGACACCGAAGCCCGGGACAGAAAACCTCTGCTCAGACATGCAATCTTGACAATCCTCCAAGGAACCCCTTTGTTGACAACCTAAAAGGAATAGACATCATGGTAAAGGCTCTTCCAACTGTCACCCAGGAATTACCTGGTGCAGAACCCGACCGTTCCCCGGCATCAGTTGAAGCCTATGAGTGACAGTGGCTGGCTTACATGAAGCGAGCAGGCATTCTGGATGGGGGGGGTGGATTTGGACATGGTAGACTACAGATACAGAGTACACTGATGGCAAAACAAGCCGTATTTGTAAAGAGCTTCTTTGGCAAAGATACATAGAAAACCATTGCTGTTGCGTAGTTTATAGCACCCAAGGCTGCTGGGTATGACTTCTTAGCACCTACACGGGGTTCCCTGCAAACAGGATCACAAGTTGGCGTCAACAGCTTTACATCGTGGGTCTAGCAGCTTTCAGTTAATATCTGAGCAGCGTTTGTTTTTCCGCTAGTCTTCCGATGCTGTGTGGGCGACACATGAGATCAATCCCAAAAATCTGCGCTGGACTCTGGCTGCGGAAGGTTCGTGGAAGGGGATGGCTTCCCGAAAGGGTCGCGGAAGGTTCACGCGCAAAAACAAATACGAACTAATCCATAAGATCAAATGGCTCAGAAGACTTCGAATATGGTGGTTGTAGGGTTGAGAGATTCTCAACATTAAGGGTCTGTTATGAGAGAAGTACGTCAGGGAGCGGAACTGTGGCATTACCAGCAAGACACATCATGCAGGTCGGCCTTTTAGAACATTGGACAAGAATTTCGCGGAAGGTTTGCGCAAGGTTCGGGGAAGGCAGAGTGCAATTTTCAACCGCGTGGGCCATTTGAAGCGTTGGAACTTCTGAAGATTGCAAGCAGAACATGCCAGTAGCTGGTTGCCTCGATGACTCAAGAGGACGACGGAAGTTCTGACATCCTCATCCTTAAGTATTCCATGAGTAAAAGATCCTTCCCGAAAGCAGAAAGGTTTGCGGAAGGTTCGTGGAAAGGACATTTTACAGGATGTTAAACAATGAGGACTCCGGGCCGCGGAAGCACGCGGAAGGGTTCGCGGAAGGGTTTCGCGGAAGGGTTTCGCGGAAAGTTTTTTACATAATCAGAATTTCAGTAGAATAAAAAACATGGCGCATTGGAGAACGAAAAAAGCTAAACGTTCCGAACCAATCCTGCGAAACAAAGGTTGCCTTAAGACAAAAATTCGCAAGGTGCATGCCTGGTCTCAGAACCCAGCAGCTGAGGAGATCCTGAGCGTTCTGGCACAGACCTTCCCCACCTGCACTCACTTTTTCATGAACTACGTGGTCTTGCCTGGGGCTCAGGGCTTTGGATAAGGGCCGTTTGTAGAGTTGAGGGTGTAGGCGGCAGTGGAAGAAGTTGGGTCGCAGAATCTGGAAAAAAGCAAAGTTCCTCCTAAAGCAGTCAGGGTCCGCTCCTATAGGCCCAAGTACCTTGGACTAGACCCTAATGAGCTATAGTCAATACTCCTTAGAGGGGGTTATGTAAGGGATTACACAGGCGACTTCTATAGGGGTCATTAAGGGGGATACTAGGATGTCTCAAATGGTAATACCCAGTCTGTGAGAAGCTCCGACAAAAGTCACGTCTAGAAATATGATAAAGCACAATAACAGAAGGCAGAGTACTTGCTTCAATCAAGAGAGCGATCGTAAGTAGTCAATCAACAACAGCAATGATAGACAAAACGCATGCACCCTATAGCGTCCTTGTATTCACCCTAACGTAATGTTTGTATCGTCCCCACAATAAAGAGACAACAACGGAGGAGACACCTTAGTCCTAAACCTGAGGCAAGGAAGCGTTCACTTTTTCGCGCTCCTCCGCGGCTTCGTGCTGATCAAGTTCATGTTTTACCGGCCTCTCGGCTTTGGTAGCTGCCTTTTCTGAGCCTTGAGGAGCGCCTGAGTGGATTCTAGATTTGAAGGCAAATGTGTGTGGGTCTGATTGAGTTGGTTAGGCAATACAGATGGTGCAAAATCAGCCACCCCAAGTTGGATAGTGGACTTGTGTACTTCTGACATCCTACATGTTAATGATGGGAACGTGCAGTTGCCCCTCGGGGCGGGAGAAGAAAGCCTGGGAGTCTTCCGGCTTATTGCTTAGCCCGAGGTGTAGTGATGCAGTCCCAATTCCGACACAGCTCGGAAGCACGCACCTTTCTCCTAATATAATTTGACCATACTACAGACGTCCAGCAGCAGATACATTTACTGTTATTTGCTGAGCTACCCGTTGCTCAGCTTGAACCCGACAGTGTTTTTTGGTCTTATTCTAGAACATCGGCGGACGCTGCTCGTTGATGCTTAGCTGTGCCTGATACACGACCCCACAAGTTTGGCCACCGCCTCGAACCCCTCATCCTCATCAAGGCTATTATAATGCCACAATTGAAGTAGCCCCTTTCTGTTGCAGCGCTGGATCTGTTGCGGGTTTTCAACCTTGCGAGGTCCTTCAGCGAGGAGAGCTTTTTTGACTCCACAAAGCTGCTGACTGCCGGTACTGTCAGCCCAGTGTTGTGAGGAATGCTGATATTTGATGGTTTTTCTAGTTTTTGCACCTTATGCTATCTGCTGTCTGATACTGCAACAGCGTAGAATTTTCTGGAGTTCAGTCCCCATCGATCGGTCTGTATTTTTGTTCCAGACAGTCCGCACCATCTTTTGTTGGCGCCATCCTACAATGGGTCTAAGTCCACTTGGCGCCCCGCCCAAGCCTGCCCTCCTTCCCGCAGACCCTAACTTTCCCAGGATTCTGGTCGGTTTAGCCTGTTGCAGGACTTGAGCGCTCTTCAGCGTGCAGAGCCTGAGGATCAGGTGCCGGGATCAAACCAGCTTTTGATACACGGAAAGCCCAGGTTCCGTGATTTTGGCTGATATAGTAGATGTATAAGGAGTGCTTTGTTTTCCCATTTTTGGGATTTCCTTCTTTTTTTGGTGTATGCAAGATTCATGGGTTATCTCAGGGCCTCATTCCTGTGACCACCACCTGCACTTTCAATCAGGTTTATGATGTTGCTTGGGAGTTGGGATGCCGAATTGCTTCGCTCTTGATTCCGGAAGATGGTCCGTCGCCTAGAGCTTGCCAGACTAGGATCTACAGAGGATGGAGGAAATCTGGCACGACTTAGAGCTACCATTTTTTTGTAATTAGTGGGGTATAGGGTATGCAAGGTGGCGCAATATTTTCCTTCATCCAGAGCATCTGAAAAGCTGTGGAAGCCGCAGTGTGTATGACTGCTAGGAACAGATTCCTAGCCAACATGAGCAGAGCCCTCAATTTACAACGCAAAAGACATCGAGCGTTTTGATCAAAATCGCGAGCGATGACAAGAATGGATCTTCTTCTGCAAGCCCTTAGAACCCTCAACACTTGAGCCTCAGCGCAGACAAATTTAAACCCCAAGCACTCTCCAAGTCTCACGTCTCAATGGAAGGAGTATCAGGGCATGGGCTCGCGAAGCGCGCGCATGACGCTCTTGTACGTCTTGGCCCTGATTTTCAGCCCCTCGGCGGCAGATCTGGAGCTTTACAACGTGAGGCAGTTGGGTCTGCGGCAGAAGGGCGTCTTTGTAGCATTTGCCGGACATGTTCAAAGACGGCAGGTACCTTGTCCCCTCTGATCACGATGCTGGCCTCGCTGAGCTTTGCAGTAGCGCGCATGGTCTACACCTACCTGTCACTTGGCCGCAGATGCCAGGATGTCTTCAGCTTAACGGTGGACGCCTTTTTGTTTGTTGGCTGTCTCAGGTCCTAACCTTGGGCCCTCAGCAGGGCCCCCACTTGCTTCCTAGGTCTCAACTTTGCATAGGGGACCAGGCTTCCAACCTTAAATGGTACTGTACTGTAGGTGCCTGAGTGGCGAAGCTGAGGTTTGTCTACGCAGAGACCTTGAAGCCGGACTTGGGAGGCCTTTTCTGGCAGCAGCCCCAGGTTGTTAGGATTCAGCTGCGTCTGCAAGGTGCGTGCAGCTTTGTAGATTGGCTTTGGTATTCTGCAGTGCACTGGTCCAGTTACTATCCTCCAGTAACCCCCCAACTTTTTTTGATGAGATCTTTTCCTCAGCCCGTGGTTTGTACGAGGGTGCAGTAAACCTGGGCGTCGGGCGAGGAGTACTGAAAGACTCGCTCTCGCTTGTGGCGAGGTGGTGTCCTACGACCCTTTGACAGACGCTGTGAATATTAGCTAAATTTGCGTAATGACAGATTATGTGTTTCGGAAAATTGAACAACCGGGATCCCCTTATGCACTCTCAGGCTCTGAAGCGAGATTCTCCTTTTCTGACAGTCCCTCATGCTACTTGCTATAGTTCAAAGATGGAGGGCAAGCGCCGAGGCAGCGGCAGCTCAACCACGCTCAGCAAGGCACCTTCCTGTGGCTCGGAAGATCATGAGCGGATGCAGGTTTCGTTTGGTGGCTGTAAAAGACATTGATTGTATTCCGAGAGGGGTACCGTACCCTTAGTCTGATGAGAATGTTAGGGGATTAGGGGGATCCACCTAGGGATTCTGCAGAGTTGATCAGGGAAACTCTGGTCTATTGTCTTGCTCTGTTGAGGTTCCGCGCGCTCGTAGACTTGCGACTGCAGTCTGTTCGTATCCACTCTTTTATGGATACTCTGCGCATAGACCATGCAGCCAAATAGAGAACCATTTGCAGCCTTCCAAAGCTTCCAATCTGTACATAAAGAAAAGGCCTGTAAGCCCATGGCTGGTCCGTTCATTAATTCGCGCGCAGTCTCTAGCTTCACAACTGTCGTCAGGAATCTGTGAACGGAATCACCGTGCCAGAAGTGGAGGAGTGGTAGTCGTAAGAATCGCCGCTGCAATCTCTGTCGTATGAGTTTTGCTCACCGTAATCCCTATGCAGTCCTTAATGTAGACCCCATAATCCATTGAGTCCGCATGTCGTCCCAAGATGAACATATATTCATACATGCATACACGCACCGTAGGATTCATGGTGCTATGCTACACATGGGATCATGCAGGGATTTGTCCATCAAACGGATTTTCACAGATTCCCAGATTGGCACTTGCAATTCAGGTATATCGCGCTGATGACAGCCGTGCTATTGCAGAGGGCGGCAACTCCCTGGCCCGGCATGATCTGCGCCTCCAGCGACCCTTTGCTGGGGTTCAGGGCACAGAGTTGAGGGCTTAGGCAAGTGTAGAATAGGGAGCTTGAACAGCTGCTCAGATGGTTTGCTTCTGTTAGGTTACGTAGCGTAGTATAGTGTACCATGGAAGTACATAAAATCCTATTTCTACTTCTTTGGACTGCCTTCTTTGTTTTGCCTTTTCTAGGAGATTTCATGGATCGGCCGTTGGGGGCTATTGTGTCGCAGCGAAAGTTTGCAACGTAATCTCTTGGGACATTGCCAGGTGTTCGACTCCTATAGGCTGAGTGTCTGCAGATGTTTAGAAGGTTTCGCTGGAGCGTGCTTTATATCGAGTCTTCTTCAACCCTACGCCCGAAGCTGGCGTTGCTGCAATGAGGACCCCTAGCTTGAGGACTCACAAGCTTCGGCTTAATTTGGGGTGTGTTGGCCCAAGTAAGCAGGCATTCGTAGGTCCAGCCTGCTTCTAGCCTACCTTGTCACTAGAAGTTTATGCATCCGCTTGTAGACTGAGATAGCATACTTGGGGCCCCTTATGATATGGGTTGGAAGGTGCAGGTCTATCTACACTGGACCTCGAACTAGGATTAATCAGAGGGTGTGGTCTTCAGTCACAGGCGTCCGTAGTTGTCGACAAGCATGGCACCTCTTGCATCCTCATATACTGAGGTATTAGTAATTAATATCATCTCAAGTCGGCGCCGTGTTTTGGGCCTCTAAAGGAATCTCACTCTTCATGAAGGCCAGCATGGAAAAATTGCTGTTCCAACGCGCCTGTTGAGGAAGGCTTAGGCTTTTGATCTTGGGGACATGATGTAACTTACAAGCTCATTCTGACCAGTAGATGCAGAAACCTTTTGGCTTGTTTTTGATAGTCATCTTGAGCGATCATCATTTGCCGCTCCTGACAGCTCTGCCTTCTGCAATCTCCAAGGCAGTGTTTATGGGCTTCTCCTACTACACGTTCCTCAACAGGCAGATGTTTGTCCGCCCCCTAAAAGAGTTCACCCCTGGACATTGTAGAATTTGTTCCGGGGCACGGCTGGTGGATCATGTCAGGTTCTTGGGAGGGCTAACCGGGCAGTGGCACAATCTAGATATTTGATCTAGAGTACCAGACTTTCTAGACCCGAACCTTGACCTGTTCGATCCCCAGGAGTAGACTTTGATACCAAAGCCTTCAGAATAGAGCCCAAGTCCAGCAGTGAACCTTCTTCAGACTGGATTCATGCCTCGCTCTGCCCTTGCCCACCTGAGTTCTAAGATTGCAGGCGCCTCCCTCAGTCAAAATCTCCCCCTCTTCCCCCCGGCACACCTGTCCCCCACTGTTGAGTGAAAAGCCTCTCCAACCCGTGCAAGGCACAAACCTTGACTCTAGAATCTAAACTGCGAGTTTGCAAAAACTTGTAAGCCCAAAAGAGTCCATGGAAGCATGTTTCATTCCAATGTAATCTCTGTATTTCAAACATTGATTAAGCAAATATGAAGTGTTTGCTATAGATTCTCTGGAACACTCTACGTGATCACCAACTAACTGGGAGGTTTCGATGGGAGCAGCTGCAGTTCAGCGAAGTGCCTGCCAAGGGCGCTCTTGGCGACTCGGACCGCACCTGCAGGGTTTCTCTTCGGAGCGTTTAGGTTTTTGAGGTCCAGGTTGTGCTTCTGGTGTTTTGTGCTGAAGATCATCGGGGAGGGTTGTGGATTGTTCCGGTTTCTTGCGGAGGCTTGCGGGTTGTTGAGAGTAGTGATCTTTATGAGAAGTGGATTGAGATTATGCATGTCCACATTTCTTTGAAGGCTCCTTTTAGGGTATGTCTGAATTTTTCGGGTTCGTCAAGGGTCTCGGGAGTCAGGTGTTGTTGAGGTGTATAGATAATTAACAATTGCACATTGGAACAGGCTTATCCGATTATCCAATTTTGCTTTCACGGAGGCTTCACGAATGGGGTTTCAAAGGGTTCAGGGTTCAGGGTTCAGAGATTAGTATTTAGGTGTTCACTGGTTGCCGGAAAGGCCATACCCAAGGCCTTCGCGCGGTTCTGACACTAAAGAGAAGGCGATTGTAATGGGTTTCAGCAGCTGAGGGTGATGCAGCGTCCTGCGGAAGCTGGCAGCTCTCATCCATCCGGCATTTCTGACATTCAGCTCAGGGTCAGCTCCCAAATCCCAGATCAAGCTATGAATCCGAAGCCCTGAACCAGTTTTAGGTGCTTGGCATAGTGCAGAAAGGAGGTAGGTCGACGGCAGATCTCTCACTTTCTGGATCTGCATATAGAGTTGTCGGCCTGCGAAGATGACATGCGTAACTGCGGATATTTCTGAAACAATCCCAAACCTGATCCCTTACAAGGACCCAAAGTCTCTTAGAAATCCTTGTGCATCTTTGGGGTCCCTAATTAGGGGCTCTGCACTTGAGAACCTCTAAACCCCAAGCCCTCAGCCCTATGTATGGCTATAGACCACCTTCAAGGGACCCAAGGGAACCTTCTGTATTTATACATCCTTACAGGCCCGTCTCAAGCAACCTAAACACATCTCCCCCATTTGTATATGGGACCCTCGCACAGGTTGATCCCCTGTTTGTGTATCCGTCTATCCAGCTCTACATGACCTAAGAGACCCTTTTTTGAAGGAGCCTTCGGGCACACCTATGTATATTTCTTAAGGGAGCCCTCTATACCCCCTTAGACTTTGAACCCAGAGGCGTTGAAGGGACCTTGGTTGTGATTTTTAAGAACAGCTGTAATCCTCAGTAAGGACCCCATGCTCCTGTACATAGCACATTTTTGGGAATTCCCCTAAGTTCTAAACCCTGAATAGTCGTTTCCATTTCATGTTCCAGTTTCTTTTCCATTTGATTCTCCGTTATTGGGGTAATATCCCCAAACCACCCCTAAATAAACCCCCTTAAAGGAACCCTAAATAACCTCCTTAAAGGGATCCATTCACCATCGTTACTTGCAGGTGGGCCTGCAGTGGTATACGGCCATTACAAGCAGTCGCCAGCTTGCACGTCAGATTGCTAATGAACTGAGCTATGGCCTACACTCCTTGACGGGGGTTATATAGGGGATTATATAGGGGCTACTACAGGCGTTAGTAAGGGGGATACTAGGAGTTTAGACTATGACTCAAATGGTTTTGTGCCCCTTTTTGGAGGAATAGAGGCCATGAGGGGGTATACATCGCTACATAGGGTTTAAGGAGCAGGGCTTGGGGCTTCCCAAAAAACAGGGGTGCTTCTTTGAGGTCATCATAACAAACAAGGATGACAGTATTGGTACGCCTGGGTTCGGGGTATCCAACAATTGGTCTTTTTTGGGGGCCCTCTTTTAAAGATTCATGGCCATGGTATGCTGGGGGCAAGCTGCTTTCTGGAAAGCCTAAGTCGGTTTTCTTCCTCAGGGTAAGGGATCAGGCCCCAGAATGAGAAGAATGATTTCCAAAGTCTGCTGAAATCATGAGGTTTACGTTGATGTTCCGAAACCTAAGCTGTTTTGTTTTACTGTCCTACAGTGGATACTAAAAATCCTACAGTACCGTTATTCCCAAGGTTTAGGGTATTTAAGGTCATGCAGGATTTTTAGTATCCACCGTACTGTGTTCAGTTCTTCCTGTTACGCTCCCAAAGTAGGAATCCCTTGTTATCACTCTGCTGAAAAAGAGCACACTCTCAGCGCTGTCGATTGTCAAGTCTGGCCCGAGCCAAAGACGGGTGAAGCTTCAAATTTGACATGTAGTACACGACCACTGCCACCCCAACGCCTGAAGCCCTCAAGTGCTAGCTGCAACCCCTCCAAACCTTGAACCTGAATCCGTGGTGAAGTCTGAAGGGCGCCAGGCTTTCTCTACTTAACCAATGGGGCTCGCGTATTGCCTACCGAGCAGAGCACCCCTGCAGAATGCTGCAGAGATTCTTCCCGTATACTGCAGAAGCCAACAGATGCCCTTCACATTTCTTGCATCAACCGCGCACGCAGAATCCTTCAGCCGGAGATTTGAAGGCTTAGTGAATCCTTGTCGAACCCTCAACTCCAATCAGCACCTGCAACCCATGAATGCTATCATCCCAGCGAAAAAACGCAAACCCTGAAATCTTGAGGCCCCAAGGCCGTTTATGCCTGCCTGAAAACCCTATGTGCCCATTCCTCCATTTCGACCATCCAGACCATTCGCTCTTTTCCTTGAATTCAATAGGCATAATGAGGAGCCCCATTATTCACTACATGTCTTTTTTATGGTAACTTAAAAAGGTTCCTGAACAGCAGCCCAGTAATCCTGGATCCTTTGACCTGCTCTTCCTGTCTCGGGCAACTGAGCCGAGCTCTTGCAATCGGGATGCTGTGGAACCCAGTAGGAGTAAGGTTGTTTTCCTGATGACGCCCCTATGTCCTAAGCTTTTTTCGGAGCTGTATCTGATTTAGGTTTGATAATAAACCACAAGACAGCCGAGTCTCAACAGTCTCCTCAATATTCTGCACTTCCAAAATTTGGGGTTTTCAGGAGTGCGTTCCCAAATAGCGCAACAAACACCATTACAGGGACTCCCAGAAAGGGGACCGCCATTTTTCGTTGCCCCGACACAAGATCCACGCCAAGGCCACAGCTTCCTGCTCCGCATCCAATCGCCCAGCTCCTCGGGCACGAAAAGATTGATCCCCTCTTCGATTATAAGTGGTTTTGGGGGACCTCAAGGAATATATAGCAATTAAGGCAGGGATTATGGGGGACTGTTATTCAATGCACCTGATTATGATGTTGTACTGCTACTGCGGAGTGTTTGAGAAGGTTCGAGGGTGTTGTGCCAATGGTGGACATGTATTATTCGCTTCCACCTGACAAAACACCAGCAAAACAACTACCTTAAGAGATTGGGTGGTTCTTAGATGCACGGATTGTTAAGGAATGCTTGGTTTCTGGAATGCGCCTGAAGAGTAGGATGCTATGACTATCACATTCATCGTCTGGTGTCCCTGTGTTCGGCATTGAGGTTTCCCAAAGGTCCATCCTTAAAAAACATGCTCCTTCAAAGCGGTGTCCGATGCAGAGATGAGCACGCGCAATGCTTTTTGATTGCAATGGCTAGGTCAGCTTCCACGAAAACACATATGCCATCAGTGAATCTCATGAACATCAGCGGTTTTCATTCTTAATCTTTCGTTGTGTTGCCACGAGAAACCCTAGCCTACCTACTCCAACATATCCTACCCGGCTCCACCCCATCCTACCCATCCTACCCCTCGAGCAACCCTGATACGGAACAGGGATTTCTCAAATGGTAGTTTCCCAAATAGGCACCCCAATATAGATTTCAAAATATCGTAATCCTTAATATGGGGACCTCCAAAAAGCTGCCTCTAATTTTGGGAAACTGCCAGATGAATGTTTTGTGCTGGTTACGTAGGGGTCGAAAGCCTCTGGACCCCGAGCCTCGCACGCCAACACAGCCTTTCAATGCAAGAGTTTAGGTGGACCCCCCCGTAGCGATAATGGAAAAGAACATGGAAGCTACTGTATATAGGGTTGAGGGTTTAGGGTCAGGTGGGCCCCCACCCTGTAATAGTAGCTATAAGGGATAATAAAGATGATGTTATGTATGCTCCTCTCATATTCCTATCAGACCACTTCTGCCAAGAGGCTTGAATAATGGAGAACCACATGGAAAGCATGTGGAAAATAAAATAAATGGAAACGGGGATGATCGAGATTTCGATTATGTAGTGGCGTCTCTCCACCATTGTGCTGCTCGGAAGAAGGATCTCGAATCGTTTCGGTCCATTTCGTACCCAAGGAAAGGCCAGGATGATCTGCTCACACGCGCAGTGACCTCCATGCGCCAGCGCCTGAACGTTTGCGGTCCAGATGATGAGGCGTGGCTGGCACCAGCTTTTCTAGTGTCTGCTGACTCTCAGATGTTGGAATTGCAAGTTTGAATAAGGTTCTAGTAAGGGTCGGAAGCGAGGATGCTTGTTGCGGATAAGCACGCCTGTCGATCAGTAAGGCTCAGCGTGTTTGAATGGGCTACGGAGGGGGGTGCCGGGAACTTGAGTAGGGCTGTGCCAACTAATGTCCAAGCAGCGGAAGCTCCCGCTTCTATGACTCCCCACCGCTGCGAGCAAAAGCATGAGCCCGTGAGGTCAAAAGCCAAAATGAGCTTCAATTGTCATCATTTCATCGTTTTGGTCGTTTTTGGCCCCGTAGTATAGAGGAGCTGTGCATGACAGGGTTGCTTCATGAGACCCCAGAGTTGAAGCTGCATGCAGTCGGACCCGGGCGACTCGGAGTTTCGTCGTGCTGGCCGCAGCAAGACGGAGGGCGGGTATGCCACCTGGACGCTCTTTGAGACGGGTACTGGGTGTAGTGAATGCACCGGCCGGGAAGCAAGAAGCAAGCTACAATCAGAAATTTCAATCCACAAGTGCACAAAATATCCACAATAAAAAGCAGACATACTCACGGGACAGACGTGTAGTCACGAGACAGACATGTAATCACAAGTCTGCCTGCTGAGCTTCGTTGACCTGGCCACTTCCTTTAGCGCTGCAGATGGTGGCAGAGTGCGTACCTCGGAGTAGCTGGGAGACCTCTGGATGCCCTGTAAGCCTTTCGGAGGTTTCGCGGCCCGAAACCTCAAAAATGACGAGCCGCAGGGCTGCAGAGGTCCCCCAAGCCCTACGGCGTTTTGGGGGTTTCGGGCCGCGAAACTTCCGAAATGAGGGTCGGGTGGCCTCCACAGCCCTACGTGGACCCTGCAGTCCTACAGCGACATCTTTGGGATTTCGTGTTAGTTCACGTTTCAGTTGTGGATTGAAAGTCGTTTTTTTCCTTGTGGTTTGAGCGCCTCCTCACTGGCCGGGGTCACTATCAATACAGCACCATGTTGCCAGTACTATCTGCCGCGTTCATTATCAATCGTAATTGTTATCACAATGAGCTTCCGTATATTGAGCTTAGGTTTCTTGAGATCAAGGAAGATTTCGGGTTGAGAGACAGTACAGGTGTTGTAAGTTAGCATCGGCATTCTTGATCAAGCATTCAAAAAAAGAAGTTCTGTTTGGTGGCCTGAAGCTGAAGAGTAGCGCAAGCTGAGTTTTGCTGAGCTTTGCCATGACCCCGTTGACTGGGTTGCTTTTAAGGAACTTAAATGAAGGTACTACGATTGATGGATGAAATCTTGCGCCACCTAGGGGCCCTAAATTATTGTAATACCTAGGACTTGAGGGACTTAAGGTGGTGCAAGATTTCCTCCATCAACAATATAATAGTAGACTATCTTCCTTAACAGCAACCCAGTTGATCCCATCCGAACCTCAGGGGTCTGTTGGAGTGTGCCTTTGTCTGTGCAGATGTGGTTGGAGAACTCGGGGTCTGTGCATTAAGGCTCCTGCGGTGTATGGCTTCGATTGTCAATATCGCCACCAAGATGTCCAAGGGTTCCAGAGACCCTACAACCCAGCAAGGTTAGGGCCAGACATCAAAGGCCCTAAACAAAGCTACAAGCTGGAGCCGGAGTTCCCCTAGTGTAACCTTATCCCAAACACTGAGCCCTGCACCCTAGACCCTTGAATCCCCAACGCCCTGCATCCTAAACCTTGAATTGCTTAAAAGAAGCCAAGGCAGCAGGGCAGCAAGAGTACCGACGTACAAGAACTACCACGGGCTGAGTTTGAGACCCATGGTGGTGGGTTCAGTGTTACGGTCTTTGAACTCTAGGATTAGGCATTTCGGGCTTTGGTTGAAGGAGTGACAGGTTTAGGACATTCAGTGCAAGGTGCAACGGCTTGTGTCTAGGTCCGGGTCTAAGAGTTTGGGTGTAGGGCAAGAGGCAAAGGCTGTTTCTTACCATGGTTGCCAAGGATTCGTTTGGAGGACAGCCAGGTCAACAAACTGTGTCTCAGCTGCTTAGCAAGCCTGGCGCCCAGAGACCGTCAATGGGGTAGCAGCCATTCGACGCTGTTTCAGTGGCAGCGAGGGCAAAAGCGCGCCTGCAGACTGTCCGTCTTCGAGGTCCTTAGAATGCGGGGATCCAGCAAAGCTCTCTCGAGACTTGCCATGGATGCAGTATTTTCCTTATTGCGCTCGAGAGCCTCTTGAACCAGAGCCCTCTGCCATCTTGTGCATGTTGTGTCGTTACCAAGCCTCAAACCTTCACCATCACCAGAATGCGATTATGAAGCTCGCCAATGCGTCAGCAACAGCGAAACTAGGTCGAGGGACTCTGTAGTACCGACGGCCATCAGAGTTAACTGCAGTGAGAATCACGAAACGTTGCGAGAAATTCAACCTGCGGCTGGCATACTTGAGATTAGGCGTTTCTTGCAAGGCTTCCAAGCCCTATCAGCGCAAAGACTCCTGGATGCCAAGTGGCAGAGCTCCCCCATCCCTTAGACACCTCGCGGCGGGTTTGGAGATTTATCGGTCCAATTCTTCTGTTCATATGCATGGGTTTCAGGAGACCCTGAGCCCAAAATGCTCTGCTATAGGTTCCATTTGAGTTGTCTCCTTAACGGTGATGCTGTAGGCCCCAATGCAGGGTGAGATCATCTTCTCAATTTCTGTACAACTTAACTCACGCCCTTACACGCAAGACCCCGAACCCTGACACCCTGAGCCCTCAACCCAATTTGTGGCAAATTTTTCGGGGGCTAGTATATCTTTGATATCTTACCAAAAACCGAGTAGCCCATACATAACTCCTATAGAACCACCTTTTAACCCCCTACACGACCCCTATAGAGGCCTAATAGAGCCACCTAAAAGGCAAGATAAAACCACTTACTTGGAGGGTCATGGGAACTTAGTAAGTAGGTTAAAACCCCTAAAAACCCATATAGTAACCTTATTTATCCCAACTATTAACCTACTTACTAAGTCCCCATGACCCTCCAAGTAGGAACCCAAAGGCTCCAGCTGTAGCCAGGCCGAGCTCCGAAGTCGAACGCAGAGGCTGGGGAGGATCTTTTTGTTTGGAGTTCCGCCCCTATTCAGGTCTGGGGCCTGTTTAGGGTTTAGGGGTTTAGGGTTTAGGCTCCTGTCTTCCGTTTTAGAGTTTAGGGTTATCAGTTAGGAGGCTGTCATATGATATGCCACATTGAGATTACTCTGGACGTATCTTGTGTTGTGTAGGTTGGCTCTGTTCCTCCAGAGGGTGCGTAAGAAACGCCGTTATGGACCAGAAACGAAAGCTCATTTATGATGTGCGTGTGTTTCTGGGATTCACAGCTCAGGGTGTCGGATTAGACTCTTCGCTACCTTGCTCGCATGATTCATCCCACCCCCCAATAATGAGCCACCCCATCCCCTGATCATGGGTATTTCCTCTGATATGATTCATTATTAGGGACATTGAGGGTTGGCTTATTATGAGGAGGTGGGATCAAGCTGCGCTGGAAGAGATCCCTCTCCTCAAGGCTGTGCCCCACATTTATCCCAGGTGTCTGCCATTTCCCGAATACTCATCCTTCCAACGGTTGATGGGCACATTCCTACATGATATGGAGTATATAACCCCAACATACTGTCGTAGTTTCCATTTTCTTTTCCATTATCCCTATCTAACCCCAATATAGTAGTTTCCTTCCATTATCCCTATATACCCCCAATATACAGTCAGAATTCCAGGAGCCTGGGTGAACAGGGTCATGCAGGATTCTGCCCATCAACAGCAAGAGATGGTACCTTTGCATTTGGAACAGCTTTCCGGGTCCTACCGCCATGTTCCATTGAAGACCGAATTTTCAAGGAGAGGTGGTTTACGTTAAGACTTGAATTCGATAAGCATGTTCAGGTTTGATACCCCCTATTCACAGCCTCTTTACATCTCGGCCAGGCGGTGACTAAGGAGCCTGCTCATGCTGCACCCGAACCGCGGGTCTGGAAGGCCCTGGGGCTTGTGAAATTCTTCAGGGTATTTGGGAGCTTGACAACTTTGGGAAGAAAGAAAACTTTGTGAAGTGCTGCTTGGAGTGTGCCAAGACTGCCCCAGCATGCTGACTGTTGTGTGAGGCGCCCTTGCATTCAAGTGGCGGGGTCAGCGTATCAGAGTGAAAATAGTAGTAGGGATGGGGGAACAAGACGGGAGATGGAGACGGGCCTGTTACCATGTCCTTAGGAGTCCGTGGGGTTTTGCTTTCTGGTAAGGGCCCCCCACATGCTGAGGAGAGTTCTGGACCGACCTGGAATGCTATCATGATCTGGTACCGATGTAAAGCTGGAACGCTGAAGTTGCTTTGAGGGTAAGTGGTCTTTTGTGGATGATGGATGCGATTCTACGCCATGTTCTAAATTTCAATACTGATGATCTGCATTACTTTTTAAAGGGCTAATAGTAGCAGTAATAGCCAGACTAGTGACGTGAATCGTGAGACTGCTTATGGCAACTGCTATGTACGTGCTCAAGGGGGATGGCTAGTTGCTTGCCAGAAAAGTGCTTGACCTGCTAATAGAGGGTGCAGGGTGAGCAGTCGTGAACATTTTACTGCCATTTGGGTCACATTTACAAGTAATGACAAAATTCCCATGACTCCGGCTGTGAGTGTTTTGACCCCTCCTCCTTTGTGGTACGGTTGTCACTGGTGGTTCATTGATTCAACGGCAGGCGCGCAAACCCAAGCCCGAAGCGGCGTGGGGCACCTGTTGCAACATTCCGGATTTAGGATTTAGGTGCTTGCGTGGTTGGAGTGCTTGACCTGCGAGTGCTGCTCAGTTTTCTTCAGGTGCATATAGAGAGTGTACTGTGGGCTCTTCTACAACTTTTGCTGTCCAGGGTTCTTGCTGTTTGTGTTGAAGCTCTTTGGTCTCTTCCTTAGGTACACTTCTTGTCGACATCGTACCAACCTACCTGATTCCCAGTATCCGTTTATTCCTCACATCCAGGCCATGTGTTCTTTTATAGGCGGAGCACCATGGTACAACAATGATACACCATCTGTGACACGCTCCAAACATGCTTCAAGGTAACTTTTTTTTGGCATACCCTGACCTGGAATTGCCTCTTGCACGTTCACATGGCTGAAGCTACGCTATGTGACAGTTATGTGTAGCTTGGGATTGGGTGGACTGTCTGAGGAATCAGCACAGACAGAACAAAGACCAAACAAGCCTTGTTTGCCTTGACAGTGGATGAGGTATCTAATTTGGCTTCTACAGCATTACACGGGCATTGGTCCATTAAGGCCTCTTTTAACCTTTCCTGGCCAACCTCCAGTGTCCGCAACTCACGATGCGGGCCGTGCTAAATCTAAAGCTCTGATCACAAGCACTGAACCCACATCCTCATCCCACATCCCAAGCCTTCAAAAACTCTGCCTCTCCTTGAATTTCTGGCCGGCTGCTTTTGGCTGGGCGTAGAGTGCCCTTCGGGGCCCATGCGGGCCACCACTCGGGAGCAATGCCAGGCGCTCAACGCTGACTGTACCACCGAAGATGGGCTTAGCGTGTAAGATTTACAGAGAATGGAAAACAAGGAATGGGCCGCTTTACTTAATTTGATGATTAGGTTGAAAACTTGAAGAGGCTGGT